CCGGAACGTCGAATGCGCGGTATGACCCCTGGTTAACATAGTGGCTGCAACCCCGCTCGATGCAACCGTGATGGCAACCTTACGTTGCATCCGAACGTGAGCGAGTATTTGCTCGAGTAGAAGCGACTTTCCTGTTCCACCTGGACCATCCAAAAAGAAAAGCTTCTCCCCTCCAACCGGTCTGCTCACAGCAGCAATAACTTGGTCAAAAATATCCCTCTGGCTGCTGTTCAAGTGGTCTGCCTGCTCCGCAACATGCTCCAGTTCGTTTGGGGGGGTACGCGTCAATCTCTTGCTGGACATCATCAACAGACGCTGTATCCGAGTCGTCCACTTGAGCAGATACATCGTCGTAATCGGCTAGCAGAGGAAGGCCGTATATGTCGAGGGACCTTTGGTTCGAAACCAAGTAATCAGCCATATTCTTCAACGCCTTGTACTCCGCCATTCGAAGACGCACCTCCTCTTCGCGTACATTATGCAGGTCTGCGTCTCTTTCCTCAATGCTTCGAGCATGGTCCTCTGACATATCCTTCTTGAACCTGTCCCATAGATCTTTGGCATTACCAGGCATGGAGTAAACCAAAATGATGCCGAAGAGCTGGCGTAGCTGGTACGGCATCTTGACCTCGGCGGCTTCGCGTAAGCAATGTATCCTCTCGTCGTCATTTTCCAAATACCCAAGCGCCAAAGCTGCTTACTGATATATAGGATGTTCCGTACCATCAACCGTTCGAAGATCCGCGAAGGACTTAGGCGAGCGTCGGTTACACAGGAGAAGTCGTATATAGAAGCGTTCCGGGTCCTGCGGAGATACGTGTACCAAGCGTCCCAGAGAAGCAACGTACTTCTTATACGGTTCCCACGTCTTGTGTTCCGTCCACCTGTACTTCCGCGGTACATCCTTGTACAGTAGATTGGCCGTAGCTTCTGGGTTACGCGCGCACAGCTTGAAAAACTCCGTCAGCATTGATCTGTCCCCGCGGTTAATCAAGCTGTGAAGCTGGGGGGGGGTCGTCGCTTGGTCGCGATAAGCAACCTTGCTCATTCCTTCCAAATGGATAGGTAGCGTCACGACAGAATGTGTTGATCCTAGTGTTGGATGCATGAATAGCCGCGTGCAAGCTTCTACCGGAGAAATATACCTCCCGAGGAGATACTGAAGAATTTCGTTCGCCCGAATTTCTTCGCCTTCAATCGTTATTGTCGTCATGTCCGAGCCCTTGTAGACGTACTTGTAGATGTACTTGATGGCCTTGTTCGTGGCACAAACCCCGACGTTGATGTGGCAGCTGTATTTCTGCGACAGGAACGGATTGTACGGGACCACCCTTTGATTGATGGTCGCGTTGTCCCATACTTTCCCCTTATGGCACAAAATTCCATCCGGACGGCGATCACGCTTGTACGTGGGGTATTTGTCGGGGGTCATCACCGTTTCGTTCGCGAGCGCCTTTGAAAACTTCTTGGAGCACCTTCCGTTCTTCATGCACGGGCAGTTCGGGTTCTGTTGACCACAGGGTCCATGCAGCATATTGGAAATCGCCGTATCGTACAGCTCGGGGTACTTCTCTTTATCCGGGAGCTCAGCGGACACCAGCTTATCGGCGTCTTCCTTGGTAGTGGGCTTGTCCTCCGGACGCAGGATAAGCAGTATGTGGGCGTGGGGAAGACCACGCTTCTGATATTCCACTACATGGACTCGAGCGGCTTGAATCCCCAGCACACCCTCATCGAGATCCTTGTTAAGAGCTTTTAGTTTCTCCATGAACACGCGAGCCACGATGTCCGGTCGGTCGGATGCTTTCTCTCCACGGCGTAAGTTTTCCTTGATCTCAGGCCAGTTCGGGTTGCATGTCATCGTAATGAACAGGTTCGGGGCTCCTGTTTCACGGACGATAGCCATGGCATCCAAGCAGCGTTGGTACATGTAGCGGGGGCCACCTGTAAACTTTGGAGGTATGATGATCTTGCGGCCAACCTCACCCGCATCTTGCTCCGCTGACTCCTGATCCGTGTTATTCCCACGCCGAGTCCCTACGTATGGCCGCCTCGTCGTCAGCTGCCATTCTGTGGATTTCAACAGACTCGCCACGCAACGCGTCCGTGAGTCCCTGGAGGGTTTCCAATCGATACTGGAGCTGGTACTTCTTGATGAAGCGCAGGCGCTCTTGTTCGCATTTGGCCCATTGGTCAACGCAGTATTGCTGCGTCAGTCGCCCACCGCGCAGGATAAGAGAATTACTAACCGTCCGGTCGTAAAACAGATACGCCTCATATTCTCGAACGGACATGGTTAGGGGGTCACCGTGGCGATCGACGGGATTACCAGCGTACGGGATATCGTAAGTCCAACCATTCTCCCCGTACGGAAAGAGTAGAGGGTACTGCAGCGGGTCGTAGGTAACGCTCGTCTCAAAGATGCGCTTGAAACCTCCTCCTGTCGTGTGTAGGATTATATTCCGATGCTCAGCCGCATTTGTATCGATCACAACGGCTGCCACCTCTGATGCAGTTGGGGTGTTATGCGTACCCGTTCGCATTCCGTGTGACGTGCAGACGCAGCCTAAGGTGATCCCCCTCCGATAGAAAATTACTCAAGGCTAATGACGGATCATGCTCATCAACGTCTTCCCCTGCCGCTCGGCGTCGTTCGTGCTCTCTGATGGCTGCTGCATACGCATCCCAGCCACGATCTATCAAAATTCTACGCGCGTTGATAAATTCTTGTGTGTACGGATTGTGCGCCACCATCATCTGGTCAATCGTTTCCATGACGGCGCGATCGAGGCCTTGCATCATGTTCATACGGCTTCGCACACGTGCATCCATGTCTGGATCGTTAAAGTAAACTTAGGCATACATGGAGCGGCCGAATGTTGGAGGTAGTAACGAACCCAAGCGATGGCACACTGACCCTTGTACCCGGAAGTTGTAGACACCATTCCGTGTCACGCTTTCGTCGACGTTGAGAGGCCGAGACCGCGAAGCTCCCATGGACGTAAATGCGAATACGTTGTTGTAGGCTCGGATTGACCGCATGAAGGTCGGGTTCTCGAAAAGTGATAGTGGAGCATCAGGTGCTGTTCGCGAAGATGGAACAAACACCAGTCCGTTACAACAGCAGCAGCCGTCTGTCTCTTTGGGAAACTTCCAAGCGTTACAGTAGTGACAAACACGCTCGTTCTCTCGGTTGTCGACCATGTAACGCGTAAAGTAGCGACGACCCCCGAAAACTGTGGAATGGTCAAACCTTTCGTGGTGTGCGAGGCCCTTCTTATACAGCCGAGACCGCCGGCGGAACCGCTCTTACTCTTTTCGCTGATCCCTTTGTTCTTCCGTCATTGCTTCTCTTCGTGCTCTGTGCGCGGCTGCGTCCCGATCACGCTCTGCTTGACGCTGCTCATACGTCATGCTCCCTCTGTGGTCTCTTCGTGAAGCCGTATTTTGATCGCGCTCAGATTGACGCTGCTCATCTGACATGCCTTCCCTGCGAGCTTCGTGCTCCACTGCATCGCGCATCCTTTCATTTTGACTGGCCTCCTCTGGTCTTGTGGCTCTGTCGTTGGCTTGCGCGTCGCGGCTATATGATCGATGAACTGAGAGACTTTCTGACTCCAGTCGACCCCGTCAGACCCTCGCTTGTTCGGCATTTCGGCCGCAGTCTCGAATAACCTGGGATTCAGATCTGTTAGCTCTGCGTATGCGCTTCCTCTCCGCGTCTTTCTCTCGTGCCCGTTGTTTTTGTGAGCTCGTCATAGCAGCTCGCCTGATCGGCGTTGGTGCTCGGCAGGATTATCTTCTTCTGTCTTCTCCTCTCGCTCTACCGCCGGAGCAAGAACTCGTATCGCTCCGGATTCAGTTGATGCTGGGGCTTAAGCTAACTCGAGCTGCTCCAACTCTTGGATTGCCTTGCGGTAGCGCGCCTCTGCGTTACGAAGCCTTTGCTTACGGAGCTGCCTCTCCTTCCTCGATTCCAGCTGCGTTGGAGAGCGTTCTCCCGTCGAGCGCGTTGTACACGCTCATCTACTTCCTCGCGGGTAAATCTGATCAGTAGACACCATTAGGCGAGTTAATTCCGCACGAAATCTCCCTACACAGTTGTTGGGAAACCTTTTTCTTTTCCTCGGGGCTCTTGCCATGTCCTCGTATCTTAATCTGGGCTGTCGCCTGATTCAGATAGAACAAAATCACATTGACTGTTAGACTCGAAAGGCTAAGTGCACTGGGAGCTATTCTACAGCTATTTCATGAATATAAGCACCAGAACATGGACATAGTAGCTTAAGCAACGTGGTATTCGAATAGAACCCCGAACTTTCCTTTCCAGTACTAATCCAGAAGCCCTCTGTGAATAGAACACATCACTGTCATTTCCATCCCGGCTCCCCGGATTACAAACAACTTAGGTATATCGTCACTCCAGGGGGCTTGTTGGTCCAGTTAAACTTTTGCTTAGGCCCTCCCCTTGGCCGACATGTTACAGCCCCAGCTCACGGTCCGACGGGTCCAAATTACCTTGCACGGCTGTGGACCAAGCAGCTGTACATGGTAATTCAGACGCCGCATCGCGCTGTTGCCTCTTGAGTACGTCAAAGCTGTTGCCTCAGCCCTGTTGAGTGGCTGCCCAGGTCTGTTCGATACGGTCTAGCCCTTCCGGTCATGTCAGTAGTATGCACAGGGTGTCCGAGAACGACCCAGCCCCTCACGGGGCTCACACAGTTCCGAAAATGCTCTAAACTGTCTGGTATGACGCTGTGCTATTTAAGTGTCCAGGCGCGGGGCTCACTCGTGCTATTAAAGTGTTTTTTTTGTCTTGATTTCTTGTTTCATTGAGCTGTCCTTGCACTTGGTCTTGGGCTCCTTGCTCTTGTGAGACCGACTGCTGCATTCCTTTCCGTCCCGCCAGAAGTGCTCTCGCAAAGTGTGTTTTGATGCGGGAGCTCACACTTTAAGAGCACCTCTTTTTTGCGAGACTGTAAGGACTCTTCCGCATGTGGCTACAACTTCGGTTTGGCCAATTGGCAGCACGCGCCACTCGCTTTTGGAGCGTGGACACTCGCGGTGCGTCTAGGGCCCTTGGCGCGTGCATGGTAGTAGACGCTCCCAGTCACACCCACCCCAACCTGATTGCTATCGCTACCAACTGCCATACCACTTTGGAGTCTCGGGGCAAGCCTCAGACTGTATCCTGAGAGGTCTCTCTTGAATATATGGTAGGGCAAGGAGCCCCACGCCCATACATACATGCATATACATCTAAAACTACCCTACTGCTATTATACAGCCAGCGCACCTTGTCCTCTCCGCGCCGTCGCTCAAAAATCCAAGTTTGTGTTTTGAATGAAAAGTCAGTCGAAAAATATTGTCCAATAAGGGCGCGAGTTAATTATGTGACGCTTTTGGACATATTTGTAATTCATGCATAGCTAGGTCAAGTCAGAAAGATAGGCGCGGTCGGTAGGAAGAAAGGCCCGAGTGTAGCCATGCGGAATGTAGGAAAAAGCAGCAAGAAAGGAACCGGGCAGACTTATTGACAGACGGACAGACACGCTACAAGGTTAGGTGGCGGGAAATACGTAGTTCGTCGTTTCGATCCTAACGAGTCACTATCGTGAATGAACTTTAATCGCTGTGTTGTACGTGCCAATGCTTGCCTCGGACTACCAGCTTTTTAAATTTTCTATCCTGATAAATATATAAAATTAACAATGAACGATTGTTCACGATTGGACAAGCCTAAGGGCAACACTCTTTTAGCTCAATGGCTGAGCGTTGGCTTTGAGAGCCCCAGGTCGGTGGTTCGAACCCACCAGGGCACAGCCCACTCGCTCCATGAACGATTGTCCACGCTTGGACAAGCTTAAGGGCAACGCCCTTTCAGCTCAGTGGTCGAGCGCTGGCTTTGGAAGCCACAGGTCGGAGACCCGGGCGCAGCCCTCTCATACCATGAGTAGTCCGTTCTCGGACTGACGTACGGGCATCGCCCTTATAGCTCAATGGTAGAGCTCCGGCCTGTCAAGCCAAAGGCCAGTGGTTCGATCCCCATCGGGACACCACTTTCGCTGTTACAGCGCATCCACATTGGGATCATGCTCATCGAGCAATTTTTTTTTAAAACAGCTATGCGTCTATCGAGCTGAACCTTGTCCAGCACAACACGAAGCACCTGCTTCATTCGGAACCATGTCCCTAACACTACGGGGTCTCTCCACCTCCTGCTCCCGCTGCGAGCACCGCTCATACGTACGAGCTGGCTGCTGCAGCCACTGGTCAGAGCCTGAGCTCAACTACTGATCTGATCGCTCCCCACTCAAGTGGGAGGCGCCCAGCGCCTGGCGACGCTGTCGCACGCCATGGTGGCGCTTCGGCACATGATGTGCCCGGTCGTAAGCGTCAACGACGTCAGGGCAATCTTGCCGGAGGATAACCTCAAACTTCCATGAGTTCTGTGAGTGAGGGTAACCCCTCCACTTCACCAAGTACTGAATACGACCCTGGCGTCTACGCCACGCCACAAGGCGTTCCACGTGCTAGCGGTCTGGGCGCCCGCTCCGCGGACGCTAGGGCATGGTTGGTTGGTGTAGTGTGGGCTGTCCGCTTCCGCTGCGCTGCGGGGGATTAAAGAACATTCTGAAATCAAAGCTAAATGTATTATATGTATTACGTGCCCTACCAAGTCCGCGTTCCAAAGTTCTCTCTGTACACAATATTGTTGGTGTGTACGTTCCCGTCCTCATCGATGGCCTCTGAATCCACAGCAATTTTGATCGCCTTCCTTGAAGTCACTCTCGACAACGCCACATAAAGCTGCCCATGTGCGAAGACCGGTGATTCCAAGTAGATACCCACGTGGTGGATCGATTGTCCTTGGGTCTTCTTGATAGTCATGGCAAACGCTGGAACCACGGGGAACTGCTTACGCTTGAGTTTGAACGGAAACTCATTGTCATCGTCCTCACTATAAAAGACGATCCGAGGAATGAACATCTTCTTACCCTTGAACGGCCCGGACATAATGCTGGCCTCGATGCTTCTCTCGCGCAGTGACACAACCCGAAGCCGTGTTCCGTTGCAAAGTCCTGCGTCGCTATTCAGGTTTCTAATCATGATGATAGGTGTTCCAACCTTCAGAACAATCCTGTGCGGAGGGATACCAGAGAAGTTAAGAGAGTTCAGAACTCCTGCTCAAACATATTTGCATCCGCGACCCCTTCGAGGCTGTCCACCGAGAGATACTCCTTCGCTTCACCCGATAGCCGTTCCGCAACCATGTCGTTGATACGCCGAACACTTGCATTTGTGGGGGCTAGTATGGCTCGCTCAACGAAGTATTCATCGGGTAAATTCTCAGTAACGACGCCCGGGTACACCGCATCTATGAGTGCGTTGACGTTGCGGACTCGTCGGTCTTCTTCAACTTCGTACAAGTCTCGCTCGTGCTCCTCGTCCGCCGGAGGGAGTAACCTGAAACTTGGTCGAGGCTCCATATCCGCGTCTTCTTCATCAGAGGTCATTTCTTGCACCCGTCGTTCTGGAATGATACACATGTCGCGTGGGAGGCATATATCGCCATCACCGATCTCATGATTGACAGGATAACGACCTTCTCCAATTTGAAGTAAAAACTCAGAGAATTCCGCTAACTCAGCCGCACTGGCCGCGTCTGGGGCGGTGCGGACACGCATGTTCTCGGTCAGCCGCACTTGATGCAAATGCTCCCATAGGGGCGAAGACTTGAAGCAAGCTTGAATCGTCTCCGCACGCGTAGCATCCTTCAGTACAGGTAGGATCTGGCGGTGATCACCGCTGAACCCCATTACCTTTCCGCCGAACGGCTCCAGCTCGTTCTTCATAATATCCCGAAGCGACCTGTCAACAGCCTCAAAGCAAGCTCGATTCATCATCGGCGCTTCGTCCCAATGATCAAACTCGCGCTACGAATCATTCGGCTTTTTGGCTCTGCCATGAAAGGCTGCACGTCGACGTCTCTGTTAGTTTGAGGGGAATCCGGAA